AGGGAACATGACTTGTGAAGGAAAGGTAATGTCTATAGCTTCTATGTTAGAGTAAGTGAGTAAGTTACAAAAAACAAATACGTGGTGCTTGTGAGTCGAGTGTTGAGGCTAGGATATTATGATATGGTTCTCAGTATGTTTTCTTGGCATGATGTGTTAGGGAAGTTGTCTGATAAGAAGGTCGTCTCTATGTGAAGTGCAGTTTGATTACTCGAGGACGAGGAATGGTTTAAGTATGGGGTGTTGATAGTAGGCTAGAATCTCGTGTTTTAGCCAGTAGTATTGCACTAAAATTACTGCATTTTACTTGTGTTTGAGCTTGAATGTTAGTGTATTGCACTTATTGTGTGTTTTATGCCTTGTAGGAATTGATTTTAAGTTAAAATGATATTCGAAAGCTAAATCGAATAAGTTGGAGCTTTGAAATCTTAGTAAAAGTCCAAAGAGGCATAACTTGTGATATCTTTGCATTATATTGTTGGTTGAGTTCATAGATTCTTATAAGTAATCGAAAGAGGCTAGTTGAATCATTGATTAAACCTAGTTAAGAGGATAATTGAGAGAGGTTCTCCTAAAGACTAGTCCATTATGCATTCTTGCATATCTTCACAGAGCTTAAATTGGTTCATATTGAGAGGTTGAGACTTAATCGAGAGAGGAGTTTCTACTAAATAATTGTACTGATAATTATGTGAATTCGAGAGACTCACTTGAACATTAGAGGTGAATTATCTAGAGTTAAATCCCGGATAATTATCTTGCACCTATCCTATCAAAACCCCATTTTCTCTCATTGATATCTTCCTTTGCTTAGTCCTTGCTTCGATTGTCATTAGTTAATTAGCTCTAGATTCTTAATTAATTTTAGTATTAACCATATAAATCTAAATTGTTGATCATCTTGGATAGCAATCTAACTACAAACTACGATAATATTGTTTAACTCCAATCCCTGTGGATACGATATTATATTATATTATATTCGGCTAGCGAGCATATTTAAGTATGTGTTTTGCGCTCGTCACTCTACCACTCTCTCCCAGACTTTTATAGTATGGCTAAGCAGCTTGATACCCCGATAGTTATTGCAATTTTGGATATCATCCTTATTCTTGTATACAGGAACCATCGTGCTCCACCTCCACTCTTTGGGCATCTTCTTCGTTCTAAAAATGACATTAAATAACCTAGTGAACCACTACAAGCCTGCCTTGCCCGCACTTTTCCAAAACTCTACCCGGAATTTCATCCGGTCTAGTCGCTTTGCCCCTGCTCATCTTACGCATAGCCCCCTCAATTTCATCAACTTTAATTCGCCTACAATACCCAAAGTCACAACGACTCCTAGAGAGTTCCAAATCACCCAATACAATGCTCTTGTCCCCCTCCTTGTTCAAGAGACTATGGAAGTAGGTCTGCCATCTCCAACGGATAAGCCCCTCATCCAATAAAATTCTACCTTCTTCCTCCTTGATGCACTTCACTTGGTCCAAGTCACACGCCTTGGCTAACCTGAACAACCTCTTTTGAACAACTGAGTACATCGCGTAAATGTAGCATATTAGTTCAAGTAATCCCTTATGTTTGGGGTTCATTTATTTTCACCTTTATTTTATGCATACAGTCAAATCTTTAAATAAGCAATGTCGTTTGTTTTGATATTTTATTGTTTTTTTACAATAATTAGTGTTTATATGCCTATGACATTTGACATTTAGATATTATTTAATTGTTATATACAAGAAAATACCTAAAAATCATTTTTCGGTTTGTTTATGTTATACAAGATAATAAAATTATTTAACTTTAAATCTCAAATGATATTTTTATTTAATTAATTAATTTTAAAAAAGAAATCTGATACAATATTAATAAGGTGTCATGCACGGAGAAATGACGAAATACAAAAAGTTCTCAACTTCACCTTTTAGTTTATCTTGTTGCAAGTTACCAAGAGTGTATAATGTTTGTGATTCTTCGTTGGAACTTTTAAAATTTATTAAAGTTATGTCTCCAATAAAACATAATTAATAAATAAAAATTGGTTGTTATTAAATAATAAATATATGAATATTTGGTAAGACTGTTATATAGGGGTAATTTTATATGAGTGTACTAGTACTAGTAATAATTATTGCTATTATAGGTAAAAGACTTTTATAGAATGGTAAAATATAACATAAAAGTAGTTTCTAAATAAAATTTATTTATTATAGTAAAATAATTTTATATCGGATGATCGTTAAAGAGAGGTTTGATTATAATATGCAGAGGATGTATTCCACGAAATTCACTAAATGGGTGTTACTTTTGTTCCAAACTAATGAAATCCTAATTACGAGTTATTTAGTTAACATACTAGTTCTGTGTGATTATAATGCAAAGATTGCCTATGCAAAGAATAAAAAGGAAAGAGTTATCATGATGTGCTTAATAACGACAGAATTCTTATGCCTGGATTAATATGAAAAAAAATGTTATGAAGTAAATAATATTAATATTGAAGTGATTTTTATGCAAGGATAGGTTACTTTAATGTAATGATCGTGTATTTGAGCTCCATTTTCCTTATTCAATGCTTTCCGTATATGTGTTTGTTGTTTGATGACTTGTGGGGATGTTTGGATTGGTTTCGTAAAGGTTTGAGTTCAACTTAGTGTTCAACTTAAGTTTTATTTTTTGTAAACTTAAGTTGTAAGAGTTGATCAAGGTTTGACTTTTGAGTAGACAATTTCGGATTGGTGAGTTGATGGTCTCAATAGGTTCGTATGGTGATTTCGGATTTAGACATATGTCCGGATTTAGATTTAGAGGTTCCTAGGATGTTTTGACTCTATTTGCCGAAAGTTTGCAATTTGAAGGTTTCTGGTCCATAATATTTGATTTTTTCAGATATCAAGAAGAAATTAAATTCTTTTTTCCAAAGTTTCTCTTAAAATAAAGTACCTAGGAGTATTTGTTATAGTTTCAATGAACAAAACACTGTTAATTTAGTCAATTTTATTATTAATTAATAGTAAAAGGTAAATTTTTTAATATATATTAAAATAACCAAAAAATTAATTAAAGTGGATGGGAGAGAGAAGTAAAAGGGAAAGATTATAAATCTAAGTACTAAAAAAGGAAAGAATACTTTTTTACTTGCTTTCATCTACAAAAGGAAAAACAAACGAACAAGAGTTAGAGGAGAAAATTGGAGGAGGGAGAATCGGGAGAAAGCATTGGACTACATAGGAAAGAGAGACAAAAGAGAAAGCGTGGAATNGGGGGGGTTACATTTGTGGATGGTGTTCTTGGCTGGTTTCAACGTCGTCATAGCAATGAAGATGCGATCTTGATTGATCTTCAGAAACCCCATAATACCCATTTACAAGAAGGAGCAGAAGATAATAATCAAGAGTTTACCATTACTGAGGATTTTGACAATACAGGTCTAAAGCTCATCAAAGTACCTAAACGGCTTAGTTTCCCTATTTCTGCCCATTCTTCAATGGATCCTCTCAAAAAGGTTCAATGGAATATCTTATCGTTGAGTTTGGTGTTGAAGCTGTGAAAGTCAGTGATCCCATTGAGGCAAAGTTATAAATTATTGAAATATTATCCTTGTTAAATTTTTCACATTCGGTTGCTGTTGTTGAGAGATCTTGTACATATTGTGTTTGAGCCATGGGCTATTTATTGTGGAAATACTATTATTGTTGACTTCTTTGGCAAGTTATGATATTGTGCACTTGAGATGCGATTTGTGATATTGATACGCATGCGATGATATAAGGATAGAGGTTGAAACACACGCGGTGAGATAAGGTGGGCTTGATACGCGTGTTGCTAGTAGGGGAACTACTTGAAGCCACGCGGTGTGATAAGGTAGGCTAAAATACGAGAAGCTATTTTGGAAAAATAATTATTAAAATTAAATGCAAGGCTCCCGCGGTTGTATAAGGAAAGATTGTGATTTAATTTGTGAAACGAGACTATGAGACGGTACATCGGTAGCGATTCTTGTTGCTATCTTTAATTGTCTTAATTTCAGTGTAGCTATCCTTGTTATTTTTCTTCATTGTATCATTTCCATTATTATACTGTACTATGCCTGTTCAGTTTCTTTATTTATTCCAGTAGGTGTCTTGACCTGACCTCGTCACTACTCTACCGAGTTTAGGCTTGATACTTACTGGGTACCGTTGTGGTTTGCTCATACTATACTTCTGCATATCTTTTCGTGTAGATCCAGGTACTTCATACCAGCCTAGACATCCGTGAGTTGAGCTTGGATCAGAGACTTTAAGGTATATCTGTCGGCGTTCGTCGGCCTTGGAGTCATCCTCTATCTAGTTTCTACTTCGTTCTCTTTTTATAGATATTGTTGTATAGGGATGCTCAATATACTCGTGTAGAGCTTGTGACTCGGTCTCACCAGATTTTGGGTGTTGTATTCAATTGTATTGTGGAGTCCTTTTTATGATAGTTGTTGGTTTAATTGGGAGTTTTATTATTATTTTCGTTTATTCTTCATGTATGATAGGCTTATCTAGTCTTAAAGATTATGTGCCATCACGGTATCCTACGGAGGGAGATTGGGGTTGTGACAAAGAAGACCCACTTTCGCTAAGAAAATATACTATAAGTCTCTTTACTCGTTTTAGTACAATGTCTAAAATAGAGTAAGGTTTCTAGGTCCCAAAATAGACAATTAGATCTGTTTGTGGAGTCAATGAAACCCAGGTGTGCAGAGGTTGCAGGAGCTCAACAAGTATTCTATATGATTGCTGCTGCTTTGCTGAATATAATAGTGTCAGGTAGTTATGAAGTTGCTTTGTTTTACGTATACGCTAAAGTTGGGGCTGCATGTCCAACTTTAAGTCAATTTTGAGGTGTAAATACTTTGGTTTGGTAAATAAAATGATTTAATTACCAAAAAAGAAAAATGTTTGTGGGTGTGGAAGGGGAATTGCGGCGTAATATCATCAAAAGTGCAATTAGGGAGAAAAGTAGCATACCTTGCGAGGTGTAATTAGTTTGGAGTTATAAGCTCTTGAATAATCCAATATGGTCCACCTACTGAAACTATACTTTGGAGCTTCTAAAATTGATTGAAGGCATCCCGAGGCCTGCCCAACCTGTTCTGATGGAGATGCTCCATACTCTACACATATTACTTCTTTTTCTTCTTCTTTCCCTGTCATTCATTACCAACAGATACTGTTATGTATAGCAACGTGACTTAAAACGACTGCTAATGTAGTATTAATTAACTTTCCATAATAATAATGTAACTTAAGAAGAGCATCAAGTTCATACAGAAAAACTAATAGGATTGGAGTTATAATTAACCTAGATGTAGATGCATGTAAGATTCTAATCCCTTAAATCTGTGCGTACGGTCAAAACCGATTCTCAGTCATAAAGACCGGTCGATACAATGAAGTTTCGNTTTCAATCGAAGGGTATCCACATGGCAAGCTCGGACGAATTCCGAAGTAGAGACGTCGAGCTTCGAGCTATAAGACCAATCAACGGCAAAACTCGATATCATTATCGAGCCCGTGTCCGAATCGGACTACGGGGCAATGCCGATCAACACAGGCCCCAAATATCGATGCTCCAAGGCAGAACCAAGCTCGAACTAAGACTGGGGATTCGATCTAGTACCGAGCTTGAATCAGTGCCAAGCTCGCAGACAAGAGCCGTTACAACTGCACCAAGGGAGAGAATCTTGGCGAGAATCAAGGGAGAGACAAACCATCATAGGTACTCCACTATATGTATTATTTTATTATGTTGTTTTAGATAAAGTAGAGACCCTTTACCATAAAAAGGGAGATAGACTGCAATAGAGAGGCGTCCTCCAAGATACATTAAGATTTCATTGTGTTGGTTCTTCTAATATTTTTCAGTCTTCCCGTCCATCATTCCCATTTCATAGCAAACAATATATGTATTGTCATTTTGTATCAAAGAAATTTGCATACCCTTAGAACCATATCTAAATTTAACGTTATCCGATTTTTAGGGTAAACAGTTTGGCGCCCATCGTGGGGCTAAGGGTAACAGTGATTGTTTGATATAAATCTGCAGTACACTCCGGCTTACAACTTCGAATCAGTAATGGCTCTACCTATCGACCTCGAAGCTGGCCTTCAAGATAAAACCAACAACTTGGTGCCCGGGGCCGGAAGGCTACCTGACAACAGCAACAAGGCTCGAATCGAAGAAACCAAAATTCGAGCCGAAGTGCCACTGGATATCAATTTGCAAATAGCTCTAGAAGCGAATTAGCGTTCTGAAATGGAAAGAAGCGTTCAGGGCGGTGCTCGATCCATAGCCCGAGACACCTACAGCACGGGGAAAAATCGGGGTCAGCTTGCGTATGATTTTCGAAATGTTACAAGCCCAACAAGTAGTGATAGTTCAGTTGCAGAGCCGAACTCATACGTAAAGCGGGCCGAACTCCAATCCGCTTCTTCGAGAAGTCACCCCCAGAACGGAACCCCCGTAGTGAAATCAAACGAGCAGGAATCGGGGACCGCTCCTGAAATTGCTAAATTGCTCGAGGAACTCACAAAGCGAGTCGAAGCCAATGACAAAAAAGTGGAGACGTATAACGCTAGGGTCGATCAAATTCCGGGGGCTCCGCCAATGATAAAAGGGCTTGATTCGAAAAAATTCATACAAGGCTTTTCCCTCGAGCGCGGCCCCAAAACCAATCCCTAAAAAATTCCGTATGCCCGAAATTCCCAAATATAACAGTACGACCGATCCTAACGAACACGTCACCTCCTACACATGTGCCATCAAAGGCAACGATTTGGAGGATGATGAGATCGAATCCGTGTTGTTGAAAAAGTTCGGACAGACCCTCGCAAAGGGAGCAATGATCTGATATCACAACGTACCACCAAATTCCATTGATTCTTTCGCCATGTTAGCAGACTCGTTCGTAAAAGTACATGCTGGTGCCATAAAGGTTGCAACAAGGAAATCGGACCTCTTCAAAGTAAAACAAAGGGGTAACGAAATGCTGAGGGAATTCGTATCCCGATTTCAAATGGAGCGTATGGACTTGCCACCAGTCACAGACGATTGGGCCATACAAGCTTTCACCCAAGGACTGAACGGGCTAAGTTCGACAGCATCACGTCTGCTGAAACAAAATTTGATCGAGTACCCAATAATAACTTGGGCAGATGTACACAACTGGTACCAATCAAAAATCAGGGTCGAAAATGATCAATTGGGAGCTCCGTATGGGCCCGTACGTCAGAACCACACAACCACTAAAAATCAGAGGGAAACCAACAGAGAACAAAGGTCGAACAGAGACCGATACCAACCATACGACACAGATCGGATGAACAACGGTTCAGCATGTGATACGGTTTGGAACAACCGAAGGATTGATCGGGGGCAAAATTCTCGGGGATTTATGAGCAAGAGAGGCTTTGATAAATATACAGATCCTATAGAAGTCCCTCGACTATCGGAGTATAACTTCAATGTTGGTACATCTGCCATTGTATCGTCCATCGGATGCATCAAAGACACTAGATGGCCCCTACCCATGCAAACCGATCCTGCCCAAAGGAATCCCAATCAAATATGCGAATATCATGGCACCCATAGTCACAGAACGGAAGATTGCAGACAACTAAGAGAGGAAGTGGCCCGCTTATTTAACAAAGGGCACCTTCGGAAATTTCTGAGCGATAGGGTGAAGAACCATTTTAGAGACAAGGAATTCGGCAAACAAAACGAGCCAGAAGAACCGCAACACGTCATTCACATGATCGTCGACGGCGTCGATGCCCCCTAGGGACCGATGCTTAAACGCACTAAAACATCGATTGTGAAGCGATCTCGAACTCAAGATTATACACCCACAGGGACTTTATCCTTCAGTGACAAAGATACAGAGGGAATCATCCAACCCCATAACGATGTACTGGTAATATCCGTACTCATGAATAAAACTAAGATTAAGCGTGTGTTAATTGATCCAGGTAGCTCGGCCAATATCATCAGATCGAGGGTCGTAGAACAGCTCGGTCTGCAAGATTAGGTCGTACCCAAAACTCTGGTTCTAAACGGATTCAATATGGCATGTGAAACCACTAAAGGCGAGATTACCCTACCGATAAACGTGGTCGGAACCATCCAGCAAACAAAGTTTCATGTGATCGAAGGTGATATGAGATATAACGCCATCTTCGGAAGGCCGTGGATCCACAGCATGAGAGCCGTACCCTCGACCCTACACCAGGTCCTCAAATTCCCAACATCGGGAGGTGTCAAAATAGTGTACGGGGAACAACCGGCCGCAAAGGAAATATTCTCCGTCGAAGAAGCAAAATCAATAGCCTCGCCTTCACCGATGAAAGGATCAGGTTCAGAGCAGAGCGCCAAATAGCAATCACAGACATCGGCTTCGACCCAGCCAGGTAAGCAGAACGTTGAAGAAGATGATGATGATCGATGGATCCCTCGATCCTTCGTAACCCCTAATGATTTCGATGCCACCAAATCAACAATTGAGGAACTGGAGCAAATCGTGCTGATCGAACACTGGCCCGAACGAAAGGTATACCTGGGAACGGGTTTGAGCCCCGAACTCAGGAAGAAACTCATCCAATTTCTTATCAATAACATCGACTGTTTTGCCTGGTCCCATCTGGATATAACAGGGATCCCGCCGGACATAACGGCGTACCAGTTAAGCTTGAACCCTATGTTCAGACCGGTGAAGCAAAAAAGAAGGCCCCAGTCCGAGAAAAAGCACGCATTCATAAAGGACGAGAGGACTATTTGGCCCATTTGCAGGAAACGTTCAAGATTCTGAGGAAATACAACATGAAGCTCAACCCCGAAAAATGTGCTTTCGGGGTCGGTTCGGGTAAGTTCCTCGGCTTCATGGTCTTAAATCGAGGAATTGAGATCAACCCCGACAAAATCAAGGCCATTGAAGACATCACCATCGTGGACAGCGTGAAAGCTGTACAAAGGTTAACGGGAAAAATTGCAGCCTTAGGCCGGTTCATTTCAAGATCATCGGATCGAAGTCATAATTTTTTCTCCCTACTCAAAAAGAAGAACGACTTCGCATGGACATAGGAATGCCAACAAGCCTTACAAGAATTGAAACGATACCTATCATGCCCACCACTGCTTCACACTCCAAAAATCGACAAAAAACTATACTTGTACTTGGCGGTATCGGAAGTCGCCATAAGCAGCGTCCTAGTTCGAGAAGAGCAAGGTACACAATTTCCCATTTATTACGTAAGTCGGACCTTAGGAGAAGCGAAAACTAGGTATTCGTACTTAGAAAAATTGGCACTTTCCCTAGTAAGCGCATCTAGAAAGTTAAGACCGTACTTTCAATGTCACCCCATAAGCGTATTAACCACCTGTCCACTCAGTAATATTTTACATAGGCCCGAACTATCAGGCCGATTGGCCAAATGGGCCATCGAACTCATTGGGTACGATATCGAATATCAACCCTGCACGGCCATCAAGTCTCAAATTTTGGCAGACTTCGTGGCCGACTTCATGCCAACCCTCACACTCGAAGTCGAAAAGGAACTCCTTTTGAAATCAGGTATATCATCCGGGATATGGATCCTTTTTACAGACGGTGCTTCGAATATAAAGGGGTCCGGGTTAGGCATAGTTTTAAAACCCCCCACGGGTAACGTTATTAGGCAAGCTATTAAAACTATCAGGTTAACTAACAACGAGGCCGAGTATGAAGCCATGATTGCAGGTCTCGAACTAGATAGAAACTTGGGAGCAGAAGTCATTGAGGCGCACTGTGACTCTTTGCTGATGGTGATTCAAGTAAACAAAACCTTCGAAGTCCGAGAAGGTAGGATGCAAAGGTATCTAGACAAATTGCTTATCACCTTACACCATTTCAAACAATAGACCCTACGGCATGTTCCACGAGAACGGAATAATGAGGCTGATGCTCTCGTAAATTTAGGATCGTCGGTTGAGGTAGGTGATTTGAGCTCGAGGACTGTCGTCCAACTTTCAAGATCGGTAATCGAAGATGGGCATGCCGAAATATATTCTACTAGCTTAACCTGGGATTGGAGAAACAAGTATATTAAATACTTAAAAAACGGAAAGCTCCCTTCAGACCCTAAAGATTCCAGGGCCCTACGGACTAAGGCTGCTCGATTTA